TCAGGATGCTATGTGATTTCCTTAGACAGCGGGATGTGAAGATGTCATCCAGGGTTGGTAGCTGGAGCCCGATGATATTCTGGGCAATTTTAATGGTTCTCTGTAGAGCTTTTTTGTCTGCTACAAAGCTACTCCCAAACCATGCCAGAATGCCATAGGTTAGGACACTCTCAATGGTGCTTCGATAGTAGGACAGAAGTACAGTGGACCCTTGACTTACAGACGGCTTGACTTACAGACTTTTTGAGTTACAGACTTCTCTGGCCGCAAAATTTAGGTTTGACTTGCAGACTGAGATTTGACTTACAGACCAGAAAAAACCCCAAATGGAACAAAAACAGCCTGTTACGGGATTAATCAGTTTTCAATGCACTGTAGGTCAATGGAGACTTGACTTACAGACTTTTTGACTTGAGAACCGCCTTCCAATACGGATTAAGTTCTCAAGTCAAGACCCCACTGTAAATGCTGAGATAAATTTAACTTGCCGAGCATTCTCAGGAAATACAGCCTCTTCTGTGCCTTCTTCATTAGCATGTTGGCATTTATAGTCCATGAGAGGTCCTCTGAGATGTAAGTACCCAGAAATTTAAAACTACCAACTCTCTCCACTTCCTCACCGTTTATGTACAGAAAGAAACCAGAAAGATCCAGGTTGAACCACTCTGGAAGGGTTGGTTCACACTGGCAATTAGGTCATCTGATAGCTGGCAAAAAGGGGTGAGCCAGCCCATCCCCAGAGACAGATAAAGGACCGTGTAGTGACTGATATGGAGGCAGTGACAGATTTTACTTTCTTGGGCTCCATGATCACTGCAGATGGTGACAGCAGCTACAAAATTAAGATACGCCTGCTTCTTACGAGGAATGCAATGACAAACCTAGACAGCATCTTAAAAAGCAGAGACATCACCTTGCTGACAAAAGTCTGCATAGTCAAAGCTATGGTTTTTCCAGTAGCGATGTATGGAAGTGAGAGCTGGAACATAAAGAAGGCTGACCGTCGAGGAATTGATGCTTTTGAATTGTGGTGCTGGAGGAAACTTTTGAGAGTCCCCTGAACTGCAAGGAGATCAAACCTGTCCATTCTGAAGGAAATCAACCCTGAGTGCTCAATGGAAGGACAGATCCTGAAGTTGAGGCTCCAATACTTTGGCCATCTCATGAGAAGAGAAGACTCCCTGGAAAAGACCCTAATGTTGGGGAAGTGTGAAGGCAAGAGGAGAAGGAGGACAACAGAGGACGAGATGGTTGGACAGTGTTATCAAAACTACCAACATGAATTTGACCAAACTCTGGGAGGCAGTGGAAGACAGGAGGGATGCTCTGGTCCATGGGGTCAGGTCATGAAGAGTCGGACACAATTTAATGATGGACACAACTAAACAACAAACAAGAACAAGTCACTGATATACATGATTGTGCTCTATTGACATTTTGTTTGTACTCTTACAAAATTGTTTTCTCCATTCCATTTCTTTTTTGAGTAGGCAAAGAGGCGTTCAGAATTATTTGGGGGAGGGGGAATCTGTTTCAAACAGGAACCTGACTTTCCCAGTACTTGAAAACTTAAACAAGAAATATTCTGAGCATACTCTCGAGAGAGAAGTGTTCTGAAAATATTTGCAGCTCTAAGATAAGGAATGGAACAGCAACCCAAACAAGCGCAGAAGACATTATCACAAGTACAGCACGTATGATGTACTCCATTACTGCCACCTGGCGGAATAAAAACAAGTGACTGTTCTTTTGTTATACCCAGATAAGTATTTATTTATTTTCAGGCTCTTAAAGTTGCCACCGCAGCAGCAGCTTGTTTTGACAATGTTATGAACTATGCTTTAGTTTTAATGTCCCCAATCTGCCTGGTAGTAAAATCCCACCTTTTAAACCCAATAGTTGCCAGATACGCAGGGAGATAGAGTTTGTTATTCCCTGCTCTCTAAATACAAGTAGATTAAGGTGTTAATGGATATATGTTTTGTAAGCAAAAAGCTAGCTTGAATCTTCTTGACAGGAAGCACCATATTAAAAGTCAATAGAAGTAATGAGAAACTAATGGTAGGATAGACAAGCCACAGATGATGTCACTAAAGAAAAACATAAAACTCAGCCCAGTTACTCAGAATAAGCTAGGAAAAGTAGAAAGATGAAATTGACATACAGTAATGGCTGAGATATCTTTTTCTGACTGTATTTTCATGGCTACAAGTGTTACCTTTCTGGAATAATAGTCTTCTTCCATTTGAAAAACATTAAAATAAATAAATAAAATAAATAATAAATACCTTTCTGGAATAATAGTCTTCTTGCATTTGAAAAACATTGAATACAGATAAAATAAAAACACAGACTAGTAAAATCTTAGCTGATTTACGTACTTTTCTACTCAGAAAAAGGAGAATAAAAAGACAAAATTTCTGAAGAGAAAACTACTTCACCGTGAGTGTCCTTCTTATGTACACAAGAGGAGCAAAGTATTTATGCAAAGATACCAGACAAATCATAAAATTATGAAGTTGGAAGGGGCCTATAAGGTCACTGAGTTCAACCCCTGCTCAATGCAGGAACGTAAATCAAAGAGCATCTGCCAGGTCTAAATTTCTCTTGAATGCCTCCAGTGTTGGAGCACACACCACCTCTTGAGGTCACTGATCCCATGGCTGTACTGCTCTAACAGTTAGGATGTTTTTCCTGATATTCAAGCAAAAATTGGCTTCCTATAACTTGAACCCATTGTTGCATGTTACCCATTCTGGAATGATTGAGAACAGATTCTGCCCCCTTTTCAAGTATTTGAAAAGTGCTACCATATCTCCCCTCAGTTTTCTTTTCTAAAGGCTAAACATGGCCAACTATTTCAGTTCTTCCTCATGAGGCTCGGTTTCCAGCCCCCTGATCATCCTTGTTGCCCTCCTCTGAACTTGTTCCATTTGTCAGCATCCTTAAAGTGCGGTGTCTACAATTGTACACAGTACTCAAGATTTGGCCTAATCAGTGCCGAATAGAGGCGAACTAGTACCTTGCGGGATTTTGAGACTATACTGCCTAAAATGGCATTTGCCTTTTTTGTAGTCACATCACACTGTTGGCTCACATTCAGCTTGTGATCTATAACAACACTAAAGTCCTTCTTGCTTGTAATATTGCTGAGCCAGGTATCCTTCAACTTGCAATTGTGTGTTTGGTTTCTTTTTCCTATGTGCAGTACTTTGCACTTCTTCCTGCTGATTTTCATTCTATTGTTTTCAGCCCAGCTCAAGCTTATCTAAATAATTTTGAATGTTGTTTCTGTCTTCAAGGGTATTAGCTATTCCACCCAATTCTGTGTCATCCCTAAATTTGATTAGCATTCCCTGTATGCCCTAATCCAGGTGATTAGTAAAAATACTGAAGAGCACTGAGCCTGGGACTGAGCCCCGGGGTACTTCACTTGTTACCTCCTCATTTGAGGAGCCATCAATTACCAAACTCTAAGATTCTGTAGCCATCTCGTATCCACCTGACATTTGATCTATCCAGCACAAACCTAATTTACTTGCTAATTAGATATTATCCTTTAGCTGGCCCTCAAGTAGAAGCAAAATTTAGCAAATGGAGCTGTTCTTAAGTTGGATTGTTCTTAAGTAGGGACGTTCTTAAGTAGAGACCCCACTGTATGCTGCTCATAGACCATTGGTAATGGTGTGGCTAAAAAAATCTTGTAAATAAATAAATAATTAGAATATCATGGGGCACTTCATCAAAGGTTTTCGTAGAGAGATATAATATCTCCAGCATTCCCTCTGTCTATCGGGGAGGTTGCCCTGTCAAAAAATGAGACCAGATATGTCAGGCAAGACTTGTTCTTGACAAATATGTGTTGGCCTCTAGTTATTACTGCTTTGTTTTCTAGGTATTCACATAGTGACAGCTTTATTATCTGTTCCAGAATTTTTACCTGGGATTGATGTCAAGCAGATAGGTGTGCAGTTCCCAGGTTCCTGCTTTTTGTCCTTTCTGTAGATAGGGATAATATTGGCCTTCTCCCAATCATCTGACACCTCCCCCATTTCCCATAACTTCAAGAAAATTATGGACAGTGATTCTGAGAGTTCCTCAGCCTGTTTCTTCAATACTCTTGGATGCAGTACATCCTAGACATACTCTTGGATGCAGTTCATCCAGTCCTAGAAATTTGAACTTTTTCAAGGTAATATAGTATATTTATCAATTTCCAACTGCAATCTTGTCCCCCCTACTTGCACTTCACATTTGTCTGGAGGGTCACAGTTGGTCCTTTGGGAAAAGACTAAGCTAAAATAGGAATTCTTTTGCCTTTTCTTTGTCATCTGTTATCATTTTTCCATCTCCATTGAATAGCTGAGCCACCGTTTTCTTTTCTTTGTTTTCTGCTACGCACATACCTGAAGAATGCCTTTTTGTTGCTTTTAGTGTTCTGCTACGCACATACCTGAAGAATGCCTTCTTGTTGCTTTTAGTGTTTCGGCTCATTCTCAGCTTTTGCCCTCCTAATGCCATCCCTGCAATTCCTTGCTACTTCTCTGTACTCTTCCTTTCCAGCCTAGCTTTGCTTCTACTTGCTATATGTGTCCTTTTTTAAATTTCACTTCTCTGTACTCTTCCTTTCCAGCCTAGATTTCCTTCTACTTGCTATATGTGTCCTTTTTTTAATTTCAGGTTCTCTGAGCTTTTCGTGAAGCCACACTGGACTCCCCCCTCTTTTTTCTTTTTCTTTTCTTCTTCTTCTTCTTCTTTTTTGCTATATCCCACCTTGGACTCCCCCCTCTTTTTTCTTTTCTTTTCTTCTTCTTCTTCTTCTTCTTCTTCTTTTTTTTTTTTGCTATATCCTACCTTTTTTGTTGGTGTTGTTTGTAGTTGTGCCTTCAGAATTTCCTTTTTTAGAAACTCCTCTTCTTAAGATCTACTGCCATGGGACCTTTCCTATCATTATTCTGAATTCATTAAAATAGGCTTTTTAAAAATCCAGCATATGTGTGTGGCTATCCCTTACTTTGATTTCCTCTGAAATCAGGAATTCTAGCAGGACATGGTTACTCTTGCCCAGAGTTCCCCCTTACTGCCACTTCCTCCACCAAGTCACCTCTACTGGTTAAAATCAAGCGAAGAATAGCTAACCCTCTAGTTTCTTTCTCTGCTTTTTGAAGGAGAAAATTATTAGCCGCACAAGCCAGGTATTTCTTAGAAGGGCCATACCTGGTAGAATTTGCCTCCCAACAGATGTAAGGGTAACTGAAATCTCCCATCAGTAAATACCTGGCAGAATTTGCCTCCCAACAGATGTAAGGATAACTGAAATCTCCCATCAGTAATATATCATGTCTCTTTGAAATCCTTGTAATGTTTTTCAAAAGTTTCATCCACACCCGCTCCTTGATTGGGCAGTCGATAATTTCATCCACACCCACTCCTTGATTGGGCAGTCGATAGTAAACTCCAGCTACCATGTTCCTTTTGTTTTTTGCCCAAACTACACTGGTGCAGATGCTCTCAATGGGACATCCAATCTCCTGCTCCTTTATTTATTTCTGTGCAGGAATGTGTATTTTTGACATATACTGCAACTCCACCTCCCTTTCTGTTCTTTTTGAACAATTTATATCCTTCGATAGCATTAGAAGGGCAAAAGTTAACAACGAGCCGAGGCTGGCTAGACACACTAAAAGCAACAAAAAAGCATTCTTCAGGTATGTGCATAGCAAAAAACAAAGAAACTTTCATACTACAGTCAATCCTCGAGTTATGAACTTAATCCTTTCCAGAACAGCGTTCATAAATTGAAAAGTTCACAAGTTGATTCCTCATCCCCCATAGGAATGCACAGAAACCCCATTAATCCATTCCAGCCACCATGGGAGACCTCCCTGGGGATCCCTGCTGCTGCAATCAGCAGCTTCGGAGGAAGCCCTTTGAAAACTCCAAAGCTGAAAAGGCAGGGAGAAAGGGTGGGAAATTCGATGTCAGGGGCAGCCCTTTGAGAGTTCCAAAGGCAACAAACGGCTCAGTTTCTTTCAAAGGGCTTCCTCTGATGTCAGGGGCAGCCCTTTGAGAGTTCCGAAGGCAACAAACGGCTCCGTTTACAAAAAATGGCATTGACTTGCAAATGGAGCCTTGACTTCGTTCGTAGGTCGAGGCTCTGTTCGCAAGTCGATGCCAATTTTTGCGAACGGAGCCGTTCGTAAATCGAAAAGTTCGTATATGGGGCCATTCGTAAGTCGAGGGTTGACTATAAGGAGATGTATGTGGGGCCATTCGTAAGTCGAGGGTTGACTGTAAGGAGAGCTATCAGATTTCCATGCAAACAACAACATTCTCCCCCTTGGAAGGAAAGATTGCCATGGAAAAATGGGATTTCTTCTGGTCCCTCAACGTTCACGTGCCAGCAGGCTGCATGGAGTGCTGAGAAAGGAGTTCAAGAAGCATTGAGACTCTAACCTGACACATAGAACCATTCGTAAGTCGAGGGTTGACTGTAAGGAGAGCTATCAGATTTCCATGCAAACAACAACATTCTCCCCCTTGGAAGGAAAGATTGCCATGGAAAAATGGGATTTCTTCTGGTCCCTCAACGTTCACGTGCCAGCAGGCTGCATGGAGTGCTGAGAAAGGAGTTCAAGAAGCATTGAGACTCTAACCTGACACATAGAAAAGTTTTTAAAATGTCAGTAGCCGTTGCATGCATGTTTGTGCTCTAGCTTTTTAAAAAATCCACCTTTAGGATTAAGAACAGGGCACTGGAGAAGATTAGAACAATCTAACATCAGCTATAAAAAACAACCACTGTCCTGTTATCTAGATTTGGTTCTGCCCTTCACACAAAGAATCTTCTAGTGTGCCAAGGTTCGCTCCCACCTTCTCCTGCTTCAGCCATACAATAACCCTTGGGTTTCCATCTCTCAGTTTTATCCATACAACCAAGCTGTGAAACAGGTTAGGCCCCAGATCACCTGCTGAGCTCCATAGTTTGGGAAAGGAACCTAAACTATGTGTTGTTAGCTGCTTTGTGTTCTGTGAGCCACCCAAAGTAGACTATGTCTAGATGTGTGGCATACAAGTTCAAAAAATAAACAAACCTTTGCCTTCCTAGTTCAATACACCATTCACTTCAATGTGCTGACTTCCTACCATGATGAGGCATTTGCGGCACACTATTTCAGATGTTTAACTGAAGAGCCCCCTAAAGCCCACAAGTAACTTATTACTTCACATAAGGGATCAAACAGCTTCTGCTATTTCAAGTTCCCTTTTACTTTTCCAACTTATTTTTGAAAGCCTAATTTACAAGAATATGCACTGCTAAAGGAGGAGTGGTTTACTTACATGGGTGGTATTTTCTGATCCACTGCAAGCAGTCCAAAGCAACACTTTTTGGCTTTTTGGGTAAAACATCATATTTCAAGTTGTGCCGGTTAAAACTCATGCTGAACCTAAAAAAGGTCAAGCATTGTAACATGAAGTGAATTTTTAAAGACTAAATAAACAGCTAGTTATAGCCAATATGAAGTGACATCCAAAGAGGGGAAAAATAGTAAAAAAAAATCACTTCCCCAAAAGCCTCAGATTTTTCTTCTTCTTCACAACACTGTCTGGTGCACATCAAACTTACACTTGGGGCTTATGCATTTGCAGTTGATTCAGGATGTCCTTTTGTACCCTCGGATTTGCAGTGGCTGTAAGAGCCATCATGGGAACGGAAGAAAATTTCTTGCGAAGGATATTCAGCCTTTTATAGTCTTGGCGAAAGTCATGGCCCCACTGCTCAAAAAGGAAAACACGTGGTCAGCTAAATATCTTAATGCAACTGATAAAACAATTCCTGACCCTCCCAAGAAAGAAAAGCTCACCTGACTGACACAGTGTGCCTCATCAATTACAAAGCGGGCCAACATCTGTCGCTCATACAGATTCTCCAGAGTTGACATTAATCGGCCACTTGAGCAGACCTATGTATGAAACAATTTACAGTATCAAGTTTCTCACAACATAAGGTAAGCTAGTTAGACAAATCACCCAGCAAACTTTACAAGTCTATGTGCCAAGAAGGACAGTAAATTAATTCATCTGGCACCCCATCATATGGACAACATTTTGAAGAGGAGAATCTTTAATACATGTGGAGGTTCTGCATACAATCCATAACTCTGCAGAAGCTGTGTTTCAGATCATGCGGAGAGACTCAACGTGTCACAGAATCTCTCCTGTTCAGATTGTTGACCTACACACATAAGGTGACAACAAACAATCAGGGCAAGTGCATTCCATCATTTATCGATCTGAATATCTTTTTGAATGCTGCAATAAAGCCCTAGCATTCTAATGCAAACAGCATTATTTAGACCATTATACAAACCTTTTCTGGTGTAACATAGAGAAGTTTGATGATGGGATCTTTCTTTGACAACTGCATGTAGATTCTGGATGCTTCTGCATCAGTCTTATCACCAGTCAGATAAGTAGCTGGGATCTATGACAGAGAGAAAAAGTCATTGACATTTTTGCAACAACTGGAATGTTAAGCTAAACACTACGTTGGACACTCCAATTATATCCTGAAATTAATCACCAGAAAGTAAGTGGTAGAAACCTTAAACAATTTGCATGGAAGCAATGTTTATATTCTAGGCCAGAAGATGTGTTTTCCCTGAAGCTTCTTCCATCCCCAGTCTTCTTGTATTATCATGAGAAGAAACCTGCCAATGAGGGACCAGGTGATTCGCCTGAAGGTCCTCAGACTTTTTTTCAAGATTCCTCCAAATAGGATCAATCCAAAGTCTAAATATTTTGAATCAGAAGAGTACTACACAGAAAATTCCATAGGAAGTATGGAAGTATCCTGAGCCTCATATACAGCAAAAGATAAAAAAGAAAACATGGACTTAAAACTCACATCCATTGATGTTAGTTTCTGGACTTGATCCACTATTAATGATCTCAAAGGGGAGATTACGATTGTGACTCCCTTTGAAACACATGCTGGCAACTGGTAGCATAAGCTCTTCCCACCTCCTAATAAAACAACATGAAAAAAATAAAGAGAAATTGGAAAGTTTATTTGCAATACGGGCATAATATTGTGCCAGCGCAAGATGTGCTATGCATTTTCAGAGTTAGTACAAGGATGGTGCTCAATACAGTTTTGTTCATTGTTTGCAATGTGACTATTCCAGGTAGGACTAAAATCAGATTCATAATAATACTAAAAATTTATTAGTCAGTCATCAGGAAGATAAGAATGCATTATTTAGATAAAATCACATATCAGAGACACTGGTCAAGACATGACACTATCAATGCACCCTCTGGCTCTTTTACGACATTAAAGTTAAAAAGAAGTTCTAGATTAGCCAACAGTGTTGAAGGATATAAAAGCTTTTAAAATATCACAGCAATCACATGACATAGGGTGAAGTTAGGAGACACATAAA